AGGGGTACCCACACTTTACCACGCCACATTAACTCGTGGCGTACCCATTTATACTGCTGGGATGGAGAGAGGCGACGGGGATGTGAGGAACTTGTCCACCACACAGCGTCGATTGCCGCGCCGGGAAATCAGGAAACAAACCCGGCGACCTCCGACTAGCGCTAACGATCGCACCATAGGGTGGACAATTCTCGATTACGATGATAATGTTGGGGCCGTCATCCAGCAGTGGATGGACAACACCTGATGACGGTAAAACAGCACAGGGACAGCTGTCATCAGGGCGGACCCCCTAAGGCTGAAACAAATCTGCACTTTGAGACGTTTGATACATGATGGGGGCAATATTTACGCAATTTTTTTTTATTATGATTGCGATGGAAGTTGCACATTATTTATTTAACTCGTATCCTGTCTAGTTCGCTTCAACATTTCAAGTCGTTTTCTCGTGTGAACTTCTATCGCTGCGAGTTCACTGCCGCCGCAATGGAATCTTAATTTTGTTAGGAACGAGAAAGTTCGAAAGTTTGAGCGACATTTCCTCATTCCTCCGCGGTTTTCGAGTGAAAAGCCCTCCACGTTTATTTTTACCCCGCAAACGTGGAGAAGAAGAGGACTCGTGTTGGCAGTGTGTATACACGAAAACTCAAAAACAACTTTTATCGTCCAAAACTAATACACTTATTATTTTAGTTTACTAGGTAAGGTCCATTGAGCCACGTAGCTCTTATTTTCAGGAGCGACCTGGCTATAGCTAATGATAGCTCAACGAAGTGGCTTATCCGGTGGAAATCTATTGCAGCCAAATATTCTAAACTCTAAATGTGGAGGGGGAAAAACGGAGGACCCGGAGAAAAATACATGCAACCACGGGGAGAGAGAGACACGCAAACTCCAAACATACAGCAGGCATCAGGGTCGGGAACGAACCCACAACCTCCTGTATACCAGGAGAGAATACAGCTCAGTGAGCCTTACCTGTAAAGTCACGTAGAAGGGAAATAATTAAATAATAAAAATAAAACATAATAAAATAATTCTCACGACGTTTCGGCCACAACGCAAGCAGCCGTCCTCAGCTGAAGAACAGGCCTGTCGGAAAGACAGCGTCTAAATGAACACCACCAAGCTTGGCAGCGTATATTTAAGCTGGGTTAGAGGAGAAAGGGCGCCTTGACAGAGGAATTTAGAATATTTATGGAAAATGCAGATATGGGATTAGTCACTTTACCGAAAGAACCAAGAAGATGAATCCCTGCGGTCATGAAAACTTAAAATCGAAAAATTGAGCCTTACCTGGTTCAATAAAAATATCACCGCAACCCAACTTCACCACGTTGCTTAGTGCGTACGAGTTGGTGAACTGTGATCCGCCTAACAGCGGTTCACACGTCGCTCGCCACCGATTTTAGCCACTGCCGGGAATAGAACTCGGGTCTGCCGGGTTCGTAGTTGTACAGTCTGTCAACCGCAGCGCTGCCACCGCTCCACCGCCGCGTAACGGAACGGAGGTAACTAGTGCCTGGGGGAAGATTCCAGATGCTTTCTCTCGGTGATCCCGCGAGATGGCCATAAGAGATCGGAACTCAAATAGAACCGGGGGATATCAAGACGGTTGTAGTGATCAATTACTTTTCCGATGATCGCTTCCATAGCTCGACCTAAATCAGTCAGACGCCCACGAAAGTATTTGGTTAAGTGTCAATGTCTGTTGTCACCTTGTGCCGCTGGACGGGAGGTGATGGGTGGGACCTGGTGACGTCATCGTTATGAAACTCATTAAGGGCGCGTCACGCTGGGGCGTGGCTTGTAGAGGTGTGGGGGTTTCCCGCCTTCGTGAGACATATGTGGGGCCACCATTAATCAATAGCGGTCAATAAAAAATGTATCGATACATCGACATGATTGACCCGACTCTAAACAAACTCCTACGCTTCCTTGCATCTTGTCTGACATCTGGTGCAACGTGGGAACCCTTCCCTGTGACCTGGCACTTTTTTTTTAATTGCGCACTTTATAATTGTAAGCCTTTGAAACACGTCACCGCGTCCCATAGTAACTCGGCAGGTACACAAGGACATGGGCAGTAGCATAGAGATTACAAAGAAATATAAATGTGTGTGCAGTGTATGTATATATCCGGATTATAAGACGCTCCAGAAAGTAAGACGCACCCCACATTTGTATTGTGACCCCAGGTGTCAAAAAACAGTTTGAGGACACAAATGTTGTCACGCATTTACGGGAGTGGGGGAAGGTGCGTCGTATAATCCAGAGAATTGCTAGCTTGTAAAATGTTAATTTGGTCAAAGGTACAATGTGAGAAGTGAGATATTGGCATCACCATATCATCAATCCACTGCTGGATGAAGGCCTCCACCTTCCTCCCCATCCATGTACGTGGCCGATCGCGCGGGGTTGTGTGACCATACTTCACCACGCTGGTCACTGCGGCTTCATAGAGAGGGTTGGCGGTGGTGGAGTGGAGGGAGAGGTGGCGAGACGGCTTGTGACATCGCTCGCCACTGATGTTAGCCGTGCATGGGAATTTGACTCAAGTTGCGAATTTCGAAAAACGACCGCGATATATTTTAAATCGTGAGCATGAGATTCGACCAGCGGTTCTTAATCTTTACTGCAGCCTTGCACCGCTTTGGTTATCAATTATATATATTTTAGAATCATGTGAATAGATACATAGGGTTTGATGAAACAAAATAGTTGGGACTTACGTGCCCCTGCTCAATTTGTGTTTATATTATTAACTTCTAAAAAAAACTATCTGGCCATGTTTCGCACCCCCAGAAATGGCATCTCGCACCGCCAGGTTAAGAAGAAGAACCAATGCGGCTTTCTTAAAGGACTGCCTTCGTGACGTTAATTATTAAGAGACCCACCACCGTCTCGTATTCACCACGTGGCATTGCGGCTCTTGAATTACTGAGTTTTTATTTATTTATTACCAAAAAAAAATCTGCTTGTTATTTTGGTTTTCGACCCCTTTGCACTATACACAGACACGTGCTGAATGTTGAACGTTCTAACAACCCCTTCCAGAACATCATTAGGACTTGAATCAGTCAAGACACACATATATATACCGCGTGCGTGTGTGTTCGTTCGGATGTCGGCACGCACTCAAGCAAAACAGTATTGGAATGCAACAAACACTTTGTGAAACAACGTGATTTTTATTCACAACACGCCGAGCGCACGCGCGCGCGCGTGTGTTACAGTATTCAAGTCTCTCGCATAGCCTCGCCCTTCGGTTCTGCGGAAGACGTCGGTGGGGGAATGAATATTTTAGGGACGTGGAATGGTTTCTGTACGTGTAGCATCCGTGGCATCATCATCATCAAATGAACAACATCATCATCATCATCATCATTCACGATTACCATAATTACCAACCATTATCATCATCATCACCATCATCATTCACGATTACAATAATTACCAACCATTATCATGATCATCACCATCATCATTCACGATTACAATAATTACCAACCATCATCATCATTAAAAAAACATCACCATCTGTAATGCACACAAGCACCATCACTATTCTAAATCATCATAATCATCTTTACTCTTCATCATTACCACCACCACCACCATTAAGATCATCATCTACAATAATTATCATAACCGTCTACAATCCTAAGCATATTCACTCACCATCGCCATCATCAACGTCATTTTCAATCATCATCACAATCTTGAATAAACCATTACCACCATCATCGTCATGATGATCATCATCACCACCAATCTCATCGTCAATCCCTATCGCCGCATTCAATCATCAAACCCACCGTGATGATAAAATCAGCCTTCAAAAGTCTTAAGCCACCGGTGAAATTCGGATCAATACATTGGGCAGGCGTACACAACGTAACAATCCGATCTTATCGGGTGGTGGTGGTGGTGGTGGAGGTTAATCCCAACAAAATTCGCATACAAATACTCACGTGACCGAACCCGAAACCATATATGGAATCATATAATATTGACTACAATAACCTATATAGGCTTCAAGTTCGCCATTATCATCATAAATCGGACTTGCATAATCAATGTATTATTTATGTATTTATATTTAGTGACTTGCTTACCATCTTCTCAATTATACATTCCGATCGTGTTTTTTTTAAAATTGCGTTTGCCGTTGTGACCTTCTGACCCCGTGTCCCTTACTGGACGTGTGTGAAAAAGAGCTTCATAGCTCATCGGATTCCTCCTGCAGACTAAACAGAGATTCTCATTCCGATGACGAACGCTCTCGGTGTCGTCAGGGTGGTGGGGAGGGGGGGCTCCGTGCTGCCGAGGTTCGGTGGGCAGCGAGAAGAAAGTGAACCAAGCGTCGATCCGCAAAAAACAAGGAGACCAACACTGCCGTCTTGTCTTGTCTCGGCTCAACAGCGAGCTGCCCCCCCCACCCACCCCCCTCTGCTCATCCGTGTGTGTGCGGGGTCAACCCCCATCCGTCTTCTTGGTTCTTTCGGTAAAGTCACGTAGAATGGAAATAATAAAATAATAAAAATAAAACATCATAAAATAAATTCTCACGACGTTTCGGCCACAACGCAAGCAGCCGTCCTCGCGTGGAGAACAGGTCTGTCGAGAAGACAGCGTCTTCTCGAGGACGGCTGCTTGCGTTGTGGCCGAAACGTCGTGAGAATTAATTGTATTATGTTTTATTTTTATTATTTTATTATTTCCATTCTACGTGACTTTACCGAAAGAACCAAGCAGATGAATCCCTGCAGTCACGAAAGCTTTAAACCCCATCCGTCTCTTACCGCTCCAGAGTGGTGGTGACGACCCTCGCTCCGACAAATCTCCCCCCTGCTCTCCCCCTCCCACGCACTCCGCTTTCTCAATCCCCTCTCGCTCTCTGCCCCTCCCCTCTCGCGCCCGAACCTCCCTCCCTCCTGCCGACACAACTCCACCACCACCACTCCCACCGCCACCACCACCACTCCCACCACCACCGCCGCCTCGGGAGAGAGAGAGACGCGGGAGAGAATGGGAGGGGAGAGCGGCGGATGAGAGGCACAGAGAGAGCGAGCGCGCGAGTGTGGCGGGGGAGAGACAGAGAGAAGGAGCGCTGTGGATTCCTTGTTAACGCTGCTGCTACATGTTAGAGAGAGAGACACAACGCAGAGACACACACAGAGAGAGACAATAGACGCAGAGACAGAGGGAGCCACACGCATCGACACGAGAGCGACAGCGGCACGATTCATCGCTGCTACAACTACGACTACACATCAGCGAGCGAGTGAGTGAGTGTGTGCTAGAGAGACACAGAGGCACCACCCACAGAGAACAGGGAGAGAGAGAGGCGGGGAGGGGACACAGACTGCCTCGTGTGTTGCCTGTGAACATGGCGAGCCGGCGAGGTGCGCACATCGATCAGCGGCAGCGGCACGAGCGGCGGCGCAGGTGAATCACCCGCACGGCGCTCACCTCCGGCTCGCTCACCTGCGCCGGGCGTGTGAGATGCTCACCACCACCACCATCATTATCATCAGCTCCTGCCGTCACTTCTGCCCCCTTCGCTCCGATCACGAAGCGCGGAGACTCCGGGAGACGCTGCAGCCGTCACCTCTCCTTCGCACCCCCTCCCGGCGCGTCTCGTAACCCCCGATCGGTGGCGGTGGAACAGCGAAGCAAACCTCCTCGGAGGGTCGAGGAGCAAGAAGCTCCGATAGCCCCCGGGGGGGGGGGGCGCATCGCCCAACTAGAGCTGCCCAGGTGAGATTCTACAGGTGAGATTCTACAGGTGAGATTCTACAGGTGAGATCCTGCGGCCGGGATCATCCGAGCCACGCCGAGATCCTTCCACCCCGAGAAGGCTCCCGTCCGTCAACGATCTTCGGGGCCAAGGTCACCCGCGGGAGAAGATCCGACAGCCGGGACCTCACCGTTACCCATCGAGGCACCCGAACCGATTGGTCCGTCGAGATCCTCTCGTCCAGATCGTCCCATAAGTTCCAAGACTCTCCACCACCACCACCACCACCCACCACCGCGACCATGCCGTTCTACAAGCGGGTGCTGAGTCCCGGCGGTGGCGACGACGCGGGCGCCACGAACCCGCGTGGCCGCGCTTCGGAACCTTGCGAGGACCTGGGTCACGCCTCCAGCCGGGCCCTGGGGGACACTCTGCGTCAGCTGGCCAGCCTCGCTCGCCACGCTCTCGGCATGTTCGCCGAGCTGGAAGCGGCGGCGAGATTGGTGGCTCTGCGTTCCGAGAGGCTGGAGGGTCGGGTTCGAGCCCTGCGCGCAGCATCCGCGGCGCTCGACTGCAGGGCCGTGGCAGTGCGTGAGTAGTGGGATCGGGGTTGGGGCAATTCCACGCACGCACGGACGCGCGCGGCAGCAGGCACGAGGCTTGTGCCAGGCTAGGTGCACTTTGAGGGTGTCACGCGAAGCGCTGGTACAGGGTGTCACGGGGCTCGGGTGCCATGGGTTGATTGAGATGACCGGCACACTGCTACACACACACACACTGCTACACATAGACTGCTACACACACACTACTACTACACACACACTACTACTACACACACACTACTACACACACACACTACTACACACACACACTACTACACACACACATTACCACACACACATTACTACACACACTACTACTACACACACACTACTACACACACACACACTATTACACACACACACTACTACACACATACACTACTACACACACATACACTACTACACACACATACACTACTACACACACACTACTACACACACACTACTACAAACACACTACTACACACACACTACTACACACTCATTACACACACTACTACACACTACTACACACCCATTACACACACTACTACACACTACTACACACACACACTACTACACAAACACACACTACTACACACACTACTACACACACACACTACTACACACACACTACACACACTACACACACTACTACACACTACTACACACTACTACACACACACACTACTACACACACACTACACACACTACTACACACTACTACACACACTACTACTACACAGACTGCTACTACACACTACTACACACACACACTACTACACAAACACACACTACTACACACACACACTACTACACACACACACGCTACTACACACACTACTACACGCACACTACTCAACACTACTACTACACACATACTACTATACAAAAGATATAGCCTTAACAGACTGTAGGGGCAAGTTCTGTTAAGCGAGCACCTATGCAGGCCGGATCGACACACGAGGTGGTGGGTGGCCAGAATCACACCAGCACACACACACGGAGACACACGTGTACACACACACACACACACGTGTACACACACATACAGAGAGACACGTGTACACACACGTGTACACACGGAGACACACGTGTACACACACACGTGTACACACACATACAGAGAGACACACGTACACACACGTGTACACACACATACACGGAGACGCACAAAGACACCGGTACACACTCGGGCTCACGGACATTTTATGAAACCACGAGCAGCCTTATTTCCCCGTGCAGATGTTACACGTGCCAATAATTGGAGCGTGGTTGTGAACGGTCTAATCCCACTATTACATTCCTCTCTCCACGTTGTGTGCGTGTGTCTGTAGGCCTGTGTGTCATGATAATTGTCGTGGGGAGCGGTGGCGCAGCGGTTAGCGCGCTGCGCTTCGAACCCGGTAACCCGGGTTCGATTCCCCGCTCACGGCCAACATCGGTGACGATTATCTGAACCGTTGCTGGGCCTCCCCTAGGTCGACTCAGCCTCAAATGAGTACCCGGTGCGGTGTGTAAACATCGCCACTAGGGAGACAAAGGCGGCCGGGCGTGGTGTTGGAAGCGCACTTGGTCAGCTGTGTGCAATGTCTCGCTTCATTGAAACGAATGAAGCCACACAACATACCCCCCCCTGCCCAATGAATGAACGAATGGATGATGCGCGCATCGCACACAAACAACACACGCACCGCTGCTACACAACGCGTCTGCCTTGAATAGAAAGTGCAATTCTATTGTCTCCCACACTACTTAAACAGGGACTTGGGCTCCCACCGAGTATGTCCCGGCAGAACGGAGCATTTGACACTTGACTATACAGCCATCGTGGAGAGGTGGACCCGTACCGGATGCGTCGTGCGGTGTGCGGATTATGACATTTGGTTGCTGTTAGACGGTGGGGTAAGGCGCATGGCCGAGAAGGCAGAGCTACACGTGTCTTTTTCTTTTTTTCCCTGGACACGGGATGTGCCCGCTTCGTTTCCACACCTCGCTGAAGACGCAAGCGTTTCCAAAGCAGCGCCATGTCACGTGAATGAGTATTGTTGTAGTTCTGTCATCTCTACGGGCTGCTAACGAAGACACCTGGTGCAGATTTGCTCCCTGCATGCGCGCGTGTGTGTGTGTTGAGCACGTACGGGGAGCGGTGGCGCAGTGATTAGCGCACTGCGCTTAGAACCCGGCGACCCGCTCCGCCCCTGAGTCTCTCTGAGGTCGACTCAACCTTAAATAGGTACCTGGTGTGGTGTGGAAAACGTCAGTTCTGGGGATACAAAGGCAGCCTTGCGTGGTATTGCTGGACATGTACCATCAGCCACGTGGTGCAGTACCGGCATTCATAGGTGCTCGCTTAACAGCATAACAGCACTTGCCCCAGCAGTGTTTTAAAATCCTACCCGGGGCCTCCTGTGTCTTTGTTGTGCATGCTGTATCCCGTTACATATACGCAAGTTATGCGGTGAGCCAATGTTTGCAATGTATATGATAAATATGCGCATAGCATGACTATTATTACCGCCCCCCGTTATGTAAGGTTGGCTGTCGTTGACCCCGTAAGACGCAGCCTATTTAAAGGCACAACGCTCGGTCGAGTTTTGGTGAGCCGCTGAAACGGGGTGCCGTGCCTCTGATATCCAATTTTCCGGATTATAAGACGCACCGCACATTCCCCACCCCCCCATGTACTTTCAAGCAAAAGTAAAGGGAGGGGTGCGTCTTATAATCCGGTGTGTGTTACCAAATTGATATCAAATTCTTCGGATTATATCCTCGTAGCACAAGTAGCTACACGTGACGCTACGGGCCCCGCACTTTCAAGGGCCCCGCGCTAAATGCTTTCAAGCTATCAATTCCGCTTCAGTGATTCTGCACTCGCTCTATTACCATAGAACTATACCGCCTTCAACTTTTATGAACGACTACTGGGTGTTTAAGGTGAGCGGTTTGTCGCATTATCTGGCTGTATAGCGAATTAAAAAATACAATTACTTTACTATGCAAGTTATGTTTTTTTTACTTAGGGCCCCTTTATAACATCATGCTACAGGCCCCGCACTACCTTCATCCGGCACTGACCGCACGCAGCCAACGTTGTTGTCAACAAAGCGGCAATAGATCCGATAATAAGAGAGGAGAGAGATGGCCCAACAAAAAAAGAAGGAACCCAACTTAGTTTCACTTTCCAAATCAAAGAACGCAGAAGGCTGGTGCCACGGCGGCTTTGACGGACACGCGGGCACGCTGGCCTTACCACCCAGAGGTGCCACCAGGTTAGATTCGATCTCCTGGCGCGGCAGTTGAAACAACGGTGCAAAGTTTATTAAATACACATCGCCCCGCCCGGCCCGTCCGCCTCTGTCCACCCAAGGGCATGAATGATGGTTAAATCATTTGGTCGATCAGCAGGCAGAGTCACGCGCGGTGGGGTAAAGTGTGGGTACTTCCACCTCTTCCAACGTAGTTTGGAAGAGTAGGCCAAGCGTTAGCTTCTAGAGCGGCTCTCTGGAGTGTGGTTGGGGTAAAGCTCCCTTCAGTGGAGGCCGTTCAGCTCGCAGTGGTATGAGCAATAAATTGCAGGGCAGCACCTTTACTTTGGTATTTTATTGATCAAAAAGGGCTCTGGTTATTTGTTGAGTAAAGTCCGAACCGCGTGCTCTTGGCGAATGTTCCGGGTTTTTTTCGGGTGAATACGTGTCGATGTCACCATAATCACCACCATTTCAACCATCATCATCATCACCACCATCATCACCACCATCTCAACCATCATCATCACCATCACCACCATCATCACCATCTTAACCATCATCTCAACCATCATCACCACCACCATCATCACCACCATCTCAACCATCATCATCATCATCACCGCCATCATCACCACCATCTCAACCATCATCATCACCATCGCAACCACCATCATCACCATCATCTCAACCACCATCATCACCATTACCACCACCATCATCATTACCACCACCACCACCATCATTACCACCATTATCACCACCATCATCACCACCATCATCACCACCATCTCAACCATCATCACCACCATCTCAACCATCACCACCATCATCACCACCATCTCAACCATCATCATCACCACCATCACCACCACCGCCAACACTGGGGGCAATTTGCCAGCCTGATTTGATGTCTTGGCCGATTCACCAAGATGTGAATCTGTTCCCATGTTTTGTCTAAGAGGCGAGTGAGCGCGTGAGGTTTACGTCCTCAATCTGTTCACGGAGGAGAAGCCGTACGTTTCATTATAAAGCAACGTATTCATTTATTTACCCGGTGAAGCCTCACTGAGCCTCCAGGTTCCTTATTTTTTTATTTGGCCGGTTTCAAAAAAACCAAAAAAAGGTTTGGCCTCACGTGGAGAGGAAACCGCGGAGAAAACACAAATTCCGCATACGAATGATTTAACACTCAAAACTCAACACGGATGGAATCCAGAATCCGCTTTCCGTGCTTTGCAGACAACCACATCGCGTAAACAAAACGAATGTTTTTTCTCTCCTGTAGTTTCATCCATTCGTCGCTGGCATCTCCTCCCCCGCCCCCCCACGAGGTGGAAGAGGGCACCATTATGATTCAGCTCGGGCGGGTTTCGAGATCGGCCTCGGCGTCTTTGCCATTGAAATGTTAAACGTTGGCAAATGTTTGCGCGGCACGCACGCACGCACGCTCGCTCGGCAAGAGGTGGACAGCGGGGAGTCTGATCCTCACGCATCAGAAACACGTGCTCGGACTCGAAGGGCCTTTAAGGAGGCGTCCCTTTTTGCAACAGGCAGCGTCTCTGCCTGCCACCGTATGACAATACCCAAAGGGAGTCTTTATCAAGCCCGGCCTCGTTCACTCATTCAAATGACCATGCTGCCACCTACATCCCACCAGAGGGGGGTTGGCCTGCGGAGAGCGGAAGAGAGAGACAATAACCTGGTTAACACGTAGACTTTCGCGACCGATATTATCCATAATATCGTTTTTTTGGGTTCG